GGTCCCTGTCACTGATTCAGTTTTCTGCAGCATTGCTTTTCTCTTTCTGGCTCTCTATACAGATTTAAATGTTGGTACACACTGCATTTTAATTTCCTGTCAGTATTCTTTATCTTCTTTCATTTACCTTATCAATTATAGTTTTACAGTTTTATCTCTTTTCTCACTTCTTTTTGCTTCACAGAGCCTATTTTATTTGTATTAAGATGATAAAATAGCCATATTCTAAAATTTAAAGGTTTTTTCATAGTAAATCTTCCCTCAAACTATGAATTTCTTCTCTATCTTGAGTGATGTATTCTTGCCTTTTATATGGAATCTTCTTTGTTAAAATATTTATTTTGTTTATTTGAATTTAAATGAAGAATGTTCTAATTAGTTTTGTTTGTTTAGTTGCTAAGTCACGTCCTGTTCTCTTGTGACCCCATGGACTGCAGCCCTCCAGGCTCCTCTGTCCATGGGATTTCCCAGGCAAGAATGTTGGAGTGGGTTGCCATTTCCTCCTCCAGGTGATCTTCCCAAACCAGGGATCGAACCTTTGTCTCCTGCATTGGCAGGCAGGAGGGTCTTTACTGCTGAGCCATGGGAGAAGTCCATCTAGTTTTAGGTTTGTCAATAAATAGTGTAGGTATTTATTATTTTCTTCTTTTTTGTTCCCTTACCATATAGCTTAGAACTATTTAGGTAAGTTTTAAAAAATCTGGGGGAGACAGGTGAAATCACGGCTGCTACTACTTGTAGTGTCAGTCAGATCCTATAGGTCTTTGAGATACTGACAAGTGACTTTCTGTCTCACATCTCTTTTCAACACATTAAATAAGAACAGTATCACTGCTAAGATATTCAAATTAATGTGGATTTCTTTTTCTTTCATAGTGGAGAATTTTAAAAGCTGCAAAATCCAGTGTATTATCCTTCTATGGCTGCTTTTGGTTTTTCTTTGTATCATGAGATACTGTGTTTTGTGTCCATGATTCTTTTTTATTTCCTTGACTGGTAATGATTCTTAATTCCTTTAGCTGTGTTGCATTAGAAGAAACTATGGTCCTAGGCTGAATATAGAAAGACAAATTCTGATAGACTGTGAAACAATATAAGGAGCTGAATCTGAGGTAGGGGCAAGCATTGTGAATGTCTAGATATTTTTCAATCTATTTCTGATATGTCTATCTTTTGTCTTAATACTGTCTATGGCAGAATGCAGAACAGTGTTTCTGTCATAGACCAATATTTCTGTTACTAGTATTTTAGAATATTTATACCTTTTTTGGTATTTAATGGGATGTTTGCAGTAGAAAAACTGGATAATAACTCATTAAGTACAAACTTAACATGAGAATTTGAGGAATCTCTGTAATATTTCATGATGTCTACTTGGTGTTTATAAGTGGGTAGCCAGAGAAAGATTTATGAATCATGCATAGAGCTAGGATGATTTGAAAATATTGAAATTTAAACAGGAAGGTAGAAGGAAGGAAGCTAAGGAATGTCATTTAGATAAAAGATAAGGAAACAATGAATAAGACAGACAAGGTGCAGTTAGGTAGGTGATATGGGAATAAGGAGGATGTAATGCCCTGAGAATAAAATAAGAAAAAGCTCCACGATAGAGTCTGTCTAAAAATATGGGATGAAAAGATGTCAAGAGGGATGAACTCCTGGAAAGATCATTTCATTTGAAAGTTGGTAAGATACTGACCACTTTTGAAGAGGAGCTGTAGCTTTCAGTAAAGGTGACTGAATTACTCTTTCTTGACAGAACAGTGGAAAAAATGAGTAATACTGTTTTGCCGAATGTTTTCAGTTTCGTCTCAGGGTCAAAGGATTTGTTAACAAAATAAGCCACTTGTTATATATGAATAAATAATAAAAATATTTGTCAGAGAATTATCTAGCTTACTTTCAATATACTAACATTAAAAGAAGAGAAATAGAGCAGAAGATACATCACCAAATTGGACTTGCTGCCATTCAGACTTAAACAATGCAGAGAAGTCCCATGTGACAGCAGTCTGGGGTACCAATTGGGAAAAGGTCCTGGGCAGTGCATCCTCTGTGTGTGAGACTTCAAAGATTACAGTTCAGGGTTCCCCCTTATAAACCCAGGACGGACGCAAACTGATATCATCATCAATCTGTAACCAAATTGTAAGTCTCAGGTTAGTTCAGTACAGTCACTCAGTCGTGTCCAATTCTTTGCCACCCCATGAAGTGCAGCATGCCAGGCTTCCCTGTCCAACACCAACTCCGGGAGCTTACTCAAACTCATGTCCATTGAGTCGGTGATACCATCCAACCATCTCATCCTCTGTCGTCCCCTACTCCTCCTGCTTTCAATCCTTCCCAGCATCAGGGTCTTTTCCAATGAGTCAGTTCTTCGCATCAGGTGGCCAAAGTGTTGTACTTTCAGCTTCAACATTAGTCCTTCCAATGAATATTCAGGACTGATTTCATTCAGGATTGATTGGCCTGATCTCCTTGCAGTCCAGGGACTCTCACGAGCCTTCTCCAATGCCACAGTTCAAAAGCATCAATCCTTCGGCGCTCAGCTTTCTTTATAGTCCAGCTCTCACATTCATACTTGACCACTGGAAAAACCTTTAAAGGTCCATCTAGTCAAGGCTGTGGTTTTTCCAGTGGTCAAGTATGAATGTGAGAGCTGGACTATAAAGAAAGCTGAGCGCTGAAGTATTGACTCAATGGACACGGGTTTGGGTGGACTCTGGGAGTTGGTGATGGACAGGGAAGCCTGGTATGCTGCTGTTCATGGGGTCACAAAGAGTTGGATACGACTGTGTGACTGAACTGAACTGAACTGAATGTCTCTTCTTTTTAATATGCTGTCTAGGTTGGTCATATCTGTCTTCCAAGGAGCAAGCATCTTTTAATTTCATGGCTGCAGTCGCCATCTGCAGTGATTTTGGAGCCCAAGAAAGTAACAGTATCTCTCACTGTTTCCATTGTTTCCCCTTCTATTTGCTATGAAGTGATGGGACTGGATGCCATGATCTTTGTTTTCTGAATGTTGAGTTTTAAGCCAGTTTTTCACTCTCCTCTTTCACCTTCATTAAGAGACTCTTTAGTTCCTCTTCACCTTCTGCCTTAAGTATGGTGTTATCTGCATATCTGAGGTTACTGATATTTTCCCCTACAATCTTGATTCCAGCTTGTACGTCATCTGGTCCGGCATTTCACAACATGTATTCTGCATGTAAGCTAAATTAGCAGGGTGACAATATACAGCCTTGACGTACTCCTTTCCCAATTTGGATCTAGTCCGTTGTCCATGTCCAGTTTTAACTGTTGCTTCTTGACTTGCATACAAATTTCTCAGGAAGCAAGTAAGGTGGTCTGGTATTCCCACCTCTTGAAGAGTTTTCCACAGTTTGTTGTGATCCACATAGTCAAAGACTTTGGCATAGTCAATAAAAGAGAATTAGATGTTTTTCTGGAACTCTGTTGCTTTTTCTATGATCCAGTTGGCAATTTGATCTCTGGTTCCTGTGCCTTTTCTAAATTCAGCTTGAACATCTGGAAGTTCATAATTCATGTACTGTTGAAGCCTGGCTTGGAGAATTTTGAGCATTACTTTGCTAGCGTTTGAGATGAGTGCAATTGTGCGGTAGCTTGAGCATTCTTTGGCATTACCTCTCTTTGGGATTGGAATGAAATCTGACCTTTTCCAGTTCTGTGTCCACTTCTGAGTTTTCCAAATTTGCTGGCATATTGAATGCAGCAATCATCATTATACAGCATCATCTTTTAGGATTTGAAATAGCTCAACTGGAATTCTATCACCTCCACTGGCTTTGTTCATAGTGATTCTTCCTAAGGCCCCCTTGACTTTGCATTCCTGAATGTCTGGCTCTAGGTGAGTGATCACACCACTGTGGTTATCTGGGTCATGAAGATCTTTTTTGTATAGTTCTTCTGTGTATTCTTGCCACCTCTTCTTAATATCTTCTGCTTCTGTTAGGTCCATACAATTTCTGTCCTTTATTGAGCCCATCTTTGCATGAAATGTTCCCTTGGTATCTCTGATTTTCTTGAAGAGATCTCTAGTCTTTCCCATTCTATTGTTTTCCTCTATTTCGTTGCATTGATCACTGGGGAAGGCTTTCTTATTTCTCCTTGCTATTCTTTGGAACTCTGCTTTCAAATGGATGTATCTTTCCTTTTCTCCTTTGTCTTTAGCATCTCTTCTTTTCTCAGCTATTTGTAAGGTCTCCTCAGACAACCATTTTGCCTTTCTGCGTTTCTTTTTCTTGGGGAGGGCCTTTATCACTGCCTCCTGTACAATGTTTTGTCTTGTAAAATTTGGAATGTTGTTTAAGCCTGGGACTTGGTTGTTCAGGCCCTCTTCAGGGGCTACACAATCTCAAGATTTCCCCCCCACCCCTGCATCTTATCTATGGTGCTGCAAGTCTTGCACTCACAGCAGGCAGTCATTCAGTCATTTGCAGTCACTCCCTCAGGGCTGTGTCCAGGAAGGTTAGAAGCAAGGTCAGAGGCCTGCTCTGTTTTGTCTCTGAAGAGTAAACAAGTCTATTTATTTAATTTCCCTAACAAATACTGTGGTGGAAATGTATGTGTGCACCAGTGGTTTTATGTGTCATAGTGAATAACAGATAAGCTAACATCAGATGAGTAAAATTTACTTAAACATTTAGTTGTTTTTATTTACAGAAAAATACAATGCTTTATTCCATGACACCCATTTATAGAATGTTATTTTAAGTAATCTGTGCCTTAAAAAGACTTTCAAATAATTTCACAGCTTAACATCACTTTAATCACATTAATATGTAAACTAATTCATATCAAATGCAAAACTCACATTTACAGGACAAATAAAGCAAGTAATAATCTGGGATATTAGCATTATTTTGATACAAGGCAGCATAGCTTTTGCTAGGTATATCTAATTAATTCATGGATTTAATTTTTGATCAATCATGAAATCACTTATTGTTTTTATTGTGTTTTTTTTTGTTCGACAGAACATAAAGGAACAAGAAGAGATTTCAGAAACTATGATAAACCCTGGCAGTTAAGTGCAAAGAAGCCTAAAAAGTCAAAAAGTGACCTTGCTGTGTCTAATATTTATCCACCATCTCCAGAATCAAAATCATGTAAGGAAATTTGTCATTTAAATATTAACTTAATGTATATTAAGTATGTGTTATTAAAGTGAAGAAAAGGTAAGAATTGAAACCAATTTTTTTTTTTAATATTTCTGCCTATTAATTGTAATTTATTTCACACTTGTTTGAGCATTAACATATATTCTCAAGCATATGTGATTGGTTTAGACCATTGAGTATAATATTCTTTTAAGAATGTAAACTTCATGGTGCAGGTCTCTTGCCTCTCAGGAACAGTTGCAGTATTTTATCATATTCAGAGCAATACCAACCCTACATTTAATAAAGGATATAAAAACAAATTAAATCTTTTAGAGGGAAGGCAAAGAAGGTTTCTTTTCAAAACATTTAACAAAATTTAAAAAAAAATCCTTCATCCAGGATCTCTCTGAAGTCCTACTCCTTTGTTACTGAAGGTTGTATATTTGTTCTCTCCCACAATAAGTACCCCTTCTCTCAGTGCCTCTCCTCCTTTCTCTCTGCCTTTCTAGCCACTAAGTTCTTCCATTGCTCTGTTACCACCGCATATGCATAAACATGTCATATAGCTTAGGATCTTGTTGCAAGTCAGTTATTCTTGGAAGACAGAAGAGCCTGAAAGCTGTTCTTAAATATCAGTTTCTTGTGTTTGTTGCAGACTGAGATATGTGATTTTAATTTAAACAGAGAAAGGAACAGATAGAAAATACTTATCTTTGTTTGAAAATTTTGAAAAATCATTGTGTGCTAAATGGATTCTGAATTTGGAACATTTGTGAAAATAACTGAAATTAACTCCTTGAGTTTTTTTGTTTGTATGTTTATACAATGACACTCATAAAAAGAATTGTATCAGCCACAAAATTCTAGTGAGAATTATGTTAAGTATTATAAACTGCAAATTAAAATTATTATTTTAGCTAAATTATACTGCTTCACCAGGTTGGTGTATAATATTTGGTCCCAACATTTTAAAAAGGCTTAGAAGTTTAAAATTTAAATGTGTTGTTCACAACCATATTCCCAGTAATATCTAGTACAGTTCCTGGCTCAATGAATAGTGTTAAAATTAAAAAAAAGAATAAAGGAATAAATGAAATCAATCAGTTCTCAGTCTCACATTTCTCTTTCTATCCTTGGAAATGTCTGTCTGTCTGTCTTCATTCTCTCCCAACGATAAATATTAATACATAACTCTGCTGCTGCTGCTGCTGCTGCTAAGTCACTCAGTCATGTCCGACTCTGTGCGACCCCATAGTTGGCAGCCCACCAGGCTCCCCTGTCCCTGGGATTCTCCAGGCATGAACACTGGAGCAGGTTGCCATTTCCTTCTCCAATGCATGAAAGTGAAAAGTGAAAGTGAAATCTCTCAGTCGTGTCCGACTCGTAGCGACCCCATGGACTGCAGCCCGCCAGGCTCCTCCGTCCATGGGATTTTCCAGGCAAGAGTACTGGAGAGGGGTGCCATTGTCTTCTCCGAATACATAACCCTAGAGTTTGCTAATTTAAAAAACCCAAGTCCTGGATCTCAGCACTTAGAGGACAGAATGCTGTAAGGTCCATCATTCTGCAGAGACTTTGCTGTTTATGGGATGTTCTGTAGGCACAAAATGTTACTGGTGACCTGGCATCTAATATCTTTTCTCTTCAGGTGACCTACTCTTAACCTCTGGCTCCACTGGACTATTAGCTTTTTAAAGGAAAATTATTAACACTGTCTCATGCATTTTTAATATTATATATAGAGATAATAAACATGACATTAAGATTATAGGATTTAGAGTTATTAATTAGAATTATATTGTTTAAACATAAATTGTTCCTGAAATAATAGAATATCTTTTGAACATAGACTGGTAAGTCACAGTTGTATGTTGTAATATATAAAGCACCACTAGAAAGAAGCATGAAAAAGAATAAATAAAATGTTAATAAGTTTATTAAAATAGGATGCCCCAATTTTTTTGATTTAGTCTACCAAAACAGACAAGAAAAGAGGAAACAGAGAAACAAATGGCAACCTCTTATTGAAATAAGTGCAGTTGCTTTCCAAACTCTACAGGTCCTTGAAATTGACTGTATTATTTTAAATTGATTTGGAAAGGCAAAGGACCATGATTTTCTAAAGCAGTCTTGAAAAACATGAACTAGCTTGGAGAATTTACCCTGCCTGGCTTCAAGTCTTTTTATAAAACTTGTAGTTATCAAGACAGTGTGATTTTGGAGAAAGGATGGAAAAATAGATCAATTGACCTTAATAAAAAGTAAAAAAAAGAACCTACATATGCAGTCAAATGGTTTTTCACAAGGACATCTAAGCAATACAGTAAGAAAAGAAACAGTCCCTTCAACATTGGATATTCATATGGAAAAATACATATTGATTCATATGGAAGAATACACACATTGATTCGTACCTTAATTCATGCTGAAAATCAATCTGATATGGGTCATAGACCTACAGATAAAAACAAGAACAATGAAATGTCTAAAATAAAATGTACAAGTGTAACATTGTGACCTTGGAGAGCCAAAAATGTTTTAGAGATGTTCTAGTTACCATGGCTTCATAACAAATCACTCAAAAATACATTTTTTAGGTTAAAATAATATAACAAAAATTAAGCATTTTGAATTGTACAATTCAAATGGCGTTTAGTGCATTCAAAATAGTGTGCTAGTGTAACCTCTTTCTTACCAAAACATTTCACCTCAGAAAAGGAAACTGTACAGTCACTCAACCTTTCTACCTCCCACCAGCCCCTGGCAACTTGCTTTCTGTCTCTGTGAATTTGCCTGTTTTGATTAGCTCAGGCCGGAAAGAATCTGCCTGCAATGTGGGGACACCTGAGTTTGACCCCTGGGTCAGGAAGATCCCCTGGAGAAGGGAATGGCAACCCACTCCAGTATTTTTGCTTGGTAAATCCCATGGACAGAGGAGCCTGGCACAAAGAATTGGACATGACTGAGCGAGAAGGGGACGACAGAGGATGAGACGGTTGGATGGCATCGCTGACTCAATGCACCTGAGTTTGAGTAAACTCTGGGAGGTGGTGGTGGACAGGGAAGCCTGGCGTGCTGCAGTCCATGGGGTTGCAGAGGCAGTCACGACTGAGCGACTGAACTGAACTGAACTGAGTGACAACACTTTCATCTTAATAGAATCACGTGATGTGTGAGCTTCCTGTGATTGACTTATTTTACCTTGCGTAATATTTTCAGGTTCATTCCCATTGCAGCAGGTAATAGAACTTCATTCTTTTTTGTGGTTGAATCATATTCCATTGTATAGATAGACTACATTCTGTTTATTCATCCATTTATTTTAGGATACTTTGGTTATTTCTACATTTTGCTATCATGAATAGTCCTGCTATAAACATTGACATACAAGTAGTTGTTTGAATACTCATGATCCATGATTTTGAGTATATACCTTGAAGTGGAAATGCTGGGTGACATTGTATGTTTTAACTGGAAAGAATTGCAGTTGTATTTTATAGAAGCTGTACTATTTTACATTCCCATCAGCAATATAAATGTTTTTGGTTTCTCCACATTCTCACCAACATTTGTTACTTTTTTTTATAACAAAAATATTATACCATAAAAGTGGGTGTGAAGTGTTATCTCGTTGTTTTGACTTACATTTCTATAACAGCTAATGATATTGAGCATCCTTTCATGTCCTTCTTGGCCATATGTGTATCTTCCTTGGAGAAATGTCTATTGAAGTCCTGTGTTCATTTTTTAAAGTAAGTTGCTATTCTTTTTATCTGCAAGTAGAGTTAGTTTTATTTTTCATTTTCCAATATTGATGCTGTTTATTTTGTTTTCTTACCTACTTGCTCAGGCTAGAAATTTTATAGTGTTGAAGGTAAGTGATGAAAGCCAGCATCCTTTCTTATTCCTCATCTTAAGGGAAAACTTTCATTATTTTACTAATCTACATGACGTTAGCTGTGAGTTTCTTTTATCATACTGAAGAAGTTCCTTTCTATTTGTTTACTGGGAGTTTTTATTATGACAGAATATTGAATTTTGTCAAAAGCCTTTTCTCCATCAATCAAAATGATGGTGCATTTTAAAATTAATTCTGTTAAAACAATTATTGCATTGATTAATTTTCTTATGTTAAATAACTTTTATATTCCTGAGATAAATCCCACTTTGTCATGATGTTTAACCTTTTTTAATGAGTGCATTTATTAAGTTTAGTTTTTATTGCTTGGGAACAGCTTATAAATACTTTTTAAATATAATTTTTATTTGACATTGGAGTATAGTTTATTTGCAGTGTTGTATTAGTTTTAGGTGTATGGCAAAGTGATTCAGTTATACATCTACATATATCCATTCTTTTTCAGATTCTTTTCCCATATAGGTTACTACAGAATATTGAGTAGAGTTTCCTGTACTCTACATTAGGTCCCTGTTGATTATCTATTTTATATGTAATAGTGTGTATGTGTTAATCCCAAACTCCTAATTATCCCTCCCCCAACCTTTCCCCTTTGGTAGCCATAAGTTTGTTTTCCAAGTCTGTGAGGCTGTTTCAGTTTTATAAATAAGTTCATTCATAGCATCTTTTTAGATTCCACATATGTGATATCATACTGCATATGTCTTTGTCTGACTTACAGCATTTATTACAATAATGTCTAGATCCATCCATGTTGGCTGCAAATGGCATTATTTCATTCTTTTTATGACTGAGAAATATTCCATTGTGTATACATACTACACCTTCCTTATCCATTCCTCTGTGGATGGATATTTAGGTTAATTCCCTGTCTTGGCTACTGTAGAGCTGCAGTGAACATTGGAGTGCATGTATCTTTTCAAATAATGATTTTCTCTGGACACATGCCCAGGAGTGGGGATGCTACATTGTGTGGTAGCTCTATTTTGAGTTTTTTAAGGAATATCCATACTCTTCTCCATAGTGGTTTTACCAATTTACATTCCCACCAACAGTGTAAAAGGCTTCCCTTTTCTCAAAACCATCT